AAGGATCTCGTACTTGCCGCCTGAACCCGAAGCCTCATGGGCCCCAAGTTTCCGCAAATCCTGACGGCCAGAAGGTGCGCGTCGGAGGCGTTTACAGGGCAGACAGCCGCGTAGCCAGGCCACACGAACTGTTGCGGTCCACACCTACCCCTAAACCCTAAACCCTAAACCCTAAACCCTAAACCCTAAACCCGGTATCAAGCGGCAGGGTGCTTCAGGGTGTGTTGGAGGAGGCCCAGGGCATAGCTTTCAGAGTCGTGAGCTTTGTGCTTGAGAGAATTCTTGTCACTCGGTCATTCACTGCTAATTGCTTAAGAACCGCGAAAAATAAAAAACACTATTCTTATTAAGGGTAGTATAGGTATTCGGGTTTTATTCTTTTGGGGTTCTTAAGCAAATAGTAGTAAGTGCCTGTTGCAGAAGTACCATCATCCGGGGTTTCAGTTGTTGGGGGTCAGTATACGGGGAATGTTAGATTCTTCGGTTGAAGCCGCCGATGCGCTTATGCTAGAACTCGACGAAGCTTAGCCAAGTTGTGTCATGCTATTGTGTCCTCTTTGGCTTCTGAAAATCTGAAACCCTAAACCCTAAACCCTACACTGTGAAGCCAGGCTGGGCTGGTGCCTCGCGCCCGGCCAAGCCGATCCCATGCTCAGCGAGGAGAGGGTTCTGCATGGTTTCCAAGCCCAATAATGTCGACTCCAAGCACTATAGGGTTTAGGGTTTAGGGTTTAGGGCCATAAGCCCGGCATCCTCACTATAGACAGACACAGACACCCGCCCACCCGCCCACCCGCCCACCCGCCCACCCGCCCACCCGCCCACCCGCCCACGCACACACGCACCCACTCACCATCCACGCATGCACGCACCCATGCACACGCACAGGAAGGCCTGCAGACTCCCGTGCGACCTGAAAATTGTGCCCAGACTTTCAGGCACTAGCTGGTGATAGTGGCCAGTGCACGAACGCTGGGCAGGAGTTTGGGCTCACAGAAGGGCGAGAGCTGCCCGGGGCCGAATCGATTGATGCAGACCAGTCATGCAGGTCCTGCTTTGTTGGATTGGGCTTTAGCTGAGACAATGCGGCTATTTCGCGTCTTCGCGCTTTCGGGTCCATGGCCTGTAGGTTCGGGGTGCTATGTCCAGTGAGAGCCTACTCAGGATGGCGCGAGTCGGGCCGGATGCTTACTGCGGCGGTCTCCGCGACTCATCCAACACTTTGCTGCCATGAGTTTGTGTGTGTGGGTTCTCGGCAAAGCGTTTAGATGAAACCACCACCCCCCACCCCCCACTTTCAGCCAAGAATCGAGTCGGTCACTAGTGCTCGACATGGATGCAGTTCGAAGCCCTTTAGGCCCTAGAACAGCTTTGACCGCCTGGAAAAGGCGCTTGCCACCCTAAACCCTAAACCCTAAACCCTAAACCCTAAACCCTATAAACCCTAAACAACCCGAGACCTCCCTTTAAGCACAAGGTCGGTGGTGGTGGACGGCCGTGGTCTGTCGACGTCCTCATGGGGCTCCACCGTCATCCTTGCAGGCCTCGTTGCGCTCTGAGAATTTTAAATATTTCTACAGGAATGTATACGTATGTATATATATATATATATACATGTGTATATATATATGTATACATGCACATATATGTATATTAATGTATGTATATATATATATATGTGTGTGTATAACCCTAAACCCGAAACCTACATACACATGGCAAAAAAACAGAGGCGATATGCGCACATGCACGCATAGACGTGCACGGTCTCCTCAATCCTCCCAGGCTCTCAGCGAAAACGACTGAAGTCGAAAGCTCCCCCCTTAATGACCCAAGGAACCCTAAAAGGGTTTATAAGGTTCATGTATCTTCATAGGAACTACCCTAAACCTTCAAACCCGAAACCCTAGTCCAAGGCATATGATCCCAATTTTCGGGCCCATTTGGTCCCCAAGGTGTCCAGCGATGCTAAGATTCTTCGTGAACCAGTCCAATAAATCTTGGGGCCGTAGGGTTTGCAATTTAGGGTTTAGGGCTTCCTTTACACCCTCAACCCTAAACCCTAAACTTAAACAGCCAACCGCAAGCCACAAGCGGTTTCAGGAAGTCGTGGACCAAGGACCCTGGAGCCTAAGCTTGAAGGCCTTTGCGAACTCAAATCCTGACCCCTCAACCCCTAAACCCCTCAACCCCTAAACCCCTCAACCCCTAAACCCCTAAGCCCTTCAACCCCTAAACCCCTCAACCCCCCAGACCCCTCAACCCCTAAACCCGCAACCCTGAAGGGCCTGGCACCGGCTTCCACCTGGCCTTTGGCAACACGAGCTTCAGCTCTGGGCCCCGAACCCGGCACAGGGCTTTCAGAGCTCGGGATTGAAGTTGGTTTAGGGTTTAGGGGGTAGGGTTTAGGGTTTAGGGTTTAGGGTTTAGGGTTTAGGGTTTGGGGTTTAGGGTGTAGGGTGTAGGGTGTAGGGTGTAGGCCCTAGGATTCGGAGTCGTTTTGGGTGCCGAGTTTCGGTCAGCATGTCTCCAGCCAGTTCGGAATAAGTCTACGAGACCCAAGAAGGGTTGTGTGCAGCCAGGGGTTTAGGGTTTAGGGTTTAGGGTTTAGGGTTTAGGGTTTAGGGGAACAGACAAGACCCCACGAGTAACGGCAATGGCGAACTGCCTTCTCCCCAAGAACCAGCGAAGTGATGGCTCTGGAAGGTCATGTAATGTAGGGGTTTGGGGTTTAAGTTTAGGGTTCAGGGTTTAGGGGTTTAGGGTTTAGGGTTTAGGGTTTAGGCAATGGTATTCCCTTATGGTCTCTTTCTATTTAAACCCCCCCCCCCCCCCACCTCAAAAAACAAAAATCTAACTCTTCAGGCCCCTATAGCACTGCTTGGCAAGGGCATGCGTGCCCCCCGGGTTCAGGTTTGGGGTTTGCTAGGGAATTACTACTACTTGCTTAAGAACCCCCCCCCCCCCAAACAAAAAAAAGCAAAAATAAAAAAGGATAACATTCTCCCTTATGCAGGTAGCATAGGGATTCTTAACTTTCATTTCTTTGGGCTTCTCAAGCAAATAGTAGATTAGGGCGAGGAAGGCAGTGGTGAGGAGACCCGCTGCAAAAATCGTTTGGAATGACACCTCTATTAGCTCAGGCGCCATGCTTGGACTATTTCCTGGAGGTGCGGGCTCGGGAAGGGGGGGGGGGATGGTGTTAGGGCTTGAGCCTTTGATTTTGATTTAAAACAAAACTGTTTGGAGAGGTTTCTGAGTTTGAGGGCTGAGGGGGAGTTGTCGGGGTCTTGGGGCTTAATGCTGGATTTGAGTACAGGGATTTCAGTGCTGAGGAACAGGTTTGAGGATTAAATTCAGGGGAGTGATATTAGTGGCTTAGGCTTTGGTGTTATCTAGGGGAGTTGCATGGTCCCTAAGTCTGGTCCCCGTATCTCCTTTATCGGTCTGAAGTAAGTGGTTCTGGGTTCTATGGGGTATATAGGGGGTTAGAAAGGGTCCCCATTTATGAAGGGGCCATGCAACAACCCTCATTGTTAGGTTCTTCGGCCTCTGAACTGTCTAGACTCGATTTGTGGTTTCCCAATAAGGCTTGCGGAGGCTTTGGGGCCTTGTATCTTGGATTTATACGGGTTCAACAGCATAGCACGTCTACAGAGAGCCAGGGGAAACAAACAAATGCACAGAAAATTGGGGGGGCTGCGGCACACCTCCATCCATTTTTACTAGAACCTTGAGTCTTAAACCACCGTAAACTTCTAAACCTTCAGTGCAAGCCATGCCCTATGCCAGCCCCATAACCCACAAGAAGTATGCAAAACAAAAAAGCATGGTCGAAAACACCCGCAGTGCAACTGGGGGCCCGCTTTATGATAACATACTGGTGGCTAGGGGATGTGCAAGCTAACAGAATACTCATCACTTATGTAGGGTTTAGGGTTTAGGGTTTAGGGTTTAGGGTTTAGGGTTTAGGGTTTAGGGTTTAGGGTTTAGGGTTTAGGGTTTAGGGTTTAGGGTCGACAAGAACCATGGGCCGCTACTTGCACAGTAGAGACAGCCAGAGAAACTCCTTCCTGCCCGAAGAGCGAGAGGGCCAAGTTTTTCTTGCCGGAGGCCTGTCTGAGATAAAGGGACCCTACTCAATGCCTGACGTCAGTTAGAAAAAGAAGGGGGGAGAGAACGAGACAGAGCCAGAGAGATAGAGCCCATGAAGCTCAAGAGCCCAATGCCCCTTGATTTCAGGAGTACACACCTTAAATCGTCACAACATGATCCGCACATGGGGGGGTTTCTAAATTCGGGTCTTGTTTGGGGATACTATTAATTTGGGCACCAAAAAAGGGTTCTCTAGTTTTCACCATAGAGTTTAAGATACATTCCCCCTGAGCCCCAAACCAAACCCCTTGACCCTAAACCCTGAGCCCTGAGCCCTGAACCCTAAACTAAACCCGAAACCCTAAACCCTAAACCCTAATTAAACCCTGAACCCTAAAACCTAAACCCCAAACCCTAAACCCTAAACCCTGAACCCTGAACCCTGAACCCTAAACCCTAAACCCTACACCCTAACCCGAACCCTAAACCCTACCCGGCACTCGGAGACTCCTTCCCTGCTTCTCGCCCGCGACAGGCCCATGGACTCCCTTCAACCCGGCCCGGGCTTTGGGCTGGCCTCGGGTGTCATTCGGAGATTTACATTAAGGGTTTAGGGTTTAGGGTTTAGGGTTTAGGGCTGGCCTGTTAGTTTGGCATCTTGGCATCACGACAATATGTTTGGGGCGCTAGCTTTGTGGCCCCCAAGGTGGTTGCTTGACACCTTGCCTGTGTGCGAGTGCGAGCGTCGAAAGCCTCAACCCCGCGGTTGTGGCTCAAGCTTCTTGCTTCCCGATGAACCTTGACCCCTCGGTACTTCCGAAGTCGTCCGGGATAGCGTGGGATCTCCTGTGAAGCTCGGAATTTCGGCGCTGCTTGTTTGATGAGCTGCTGCCTCGGGCCAAGGGATGCCGCGCCGAGGTGCAGGACGCTCAGAAGCGAGGAGCGACGAGGACTTGGAGATTGATGCTAGGTAGGCCCTTGGGACATGTCCTATTTTTTCCTTATAGGGTTTAGGGTTTAGGGTTTAGCGTTTAGGGTTGGGAGAGCTATCAAACAAATTAAATAGCTATCAAATTTATTTAATTTAAATAACTATCAAAAACAAGTAAAAAACTATCAAAAATAATTATTTGTACTTCGTACAAGCAGAAAGAGAAACGCGCAATAAAGTAAGCAAAAAAAGAAAAATAAGGAATACAAGAGAGAAAACAAAGAAAGAGAGAGAGAGAGAGAGAAAGAAAGAAATAAATACAGAAAGAGAGAAATAAAGAAAGAACCAAAGAAAGAAAGAAAGAACGCAATAAGGGAAGAAGGAAAGAAGGAATAAACGAGAGAAAACAAAGAAAGAAAGACATAAGGAGAGAGAGAGAGAGAAAACAAAAAAGAAAGAAATAAATAACAGAAAGAAAGAGAGAGAGAGAGAGAGAGAGAATGAAAGACAGAAAGACATAAAGAAAAGAACGAAACAAAGAAAGAAGACAAAAAGAATGAAATAAATAAGGAAAGAGCGAACTAAAGAAATAAGGAAAGAAAGCAAGCAAGCGCAAAAGAAAGAAATACAGAAAGTGCGAGAAAGAAAGAAATGAAGACATAAGGAAAGAACGAAATAAATAAGGAAGGCAAGAAAGCAAGCAAGAAAGAATGACATCAAGCAAGAAAGAACTTTCAGCCGTGCAAAGCGTGCTTCGAAGCCTTTGTGGTATCTGATGAGCGGGCAATTAAGCACCTAGCCCGACGTTAGGTTCATCCCTCATCGCCAGTTCTGCTTACCAAAAAACGGCCAATCAAGTAACCACTCTGGATCTTGCCCATTTAAAGCTTGAGAATAGGTCGAAGACAACGCGTAACCGATTCCTCTAATCATTCGCTTTACCTGATAAAATTGTTCAACTCTGGCTATCCTGAGTTGTGAATCTTGTTGAAGCCCATCATGTGAGCATTGTGTTTGCAAATGGGGGGGGGGGGGGGGTTGCGCCCCCCCCAACCCCCCCGCTTCTTTTAAGCCGTGCAAAGCGTGCTTCAAAGCTTAAGAAATTTGCTGGAGCCCATCATGTGAGCATTGTGTGCAAAAGGGGGGGCGGGGGCTGCCACCCCCCCCCCCCCCCCCCCCAACCCCCCGCTTCTTTTAAGCCGTGCAAAGCGTGCTTCAAAGCCTATGAATCTTGCCCCAGCCCCCCGTTTTTTTTAAGCCGTGCAAGACTGCGCCCCCCGCAACCCCCCTCTTCTTTTGAGCCGTGCAAAGCCGGCTTCAAACATATTAATGTTGTTGAAACCCATCATGCTTGTGTTTGCACACGGGGGGGGGGGGGGGGGGGCTGCACCCCCCCCCCAACCTCCCCGCTCTTTTTTTTTCTTTTCAAGCCGTGCAAAGCGTGCTTCAGTTCTTATGAATCTTGTTGAAACCCATCGTGTGAGTACTGTGGTTGCAAATGCCGGGGGCTGCGCCCCCCCCCCAACCCCCCTGCTTTGCAAAGCGTGCTTCAAAGCATATTAATTTGGTTGAAACTCATCATGTGAGCATTGTGTTTGCAAAGGGGGGTGGGGGGGGTTGCCCCAACCCCCCCCGCTTCTCTTTAGCCGTGCAAAGCGTGCTTCCATTCTTATGACTTGTTGAAACCCATCGTGCGAGCATTGTGGTTGCAAACGGGGCTTCAATTCTTATCAATCTTGTAGAAGCCCATCGTCTGAGCATTGGTTGCAAATGGGGGTGGGGGGGGGGGGGGGCTGCGCCCCCCCCCCCAACCCCCCGCTTCTTTTTGCTTCAAAGCCTAAGCATCTTGTGAGCATTGTGTTTGCAACTGGGACCCCCCGCTTGTTTTTAACCGTGCAAAGTGTGCCTCAAGGCATATGAATGTTGTTCAAATCCATCGTGTGAGCATTGTGGTTGCAAACCGGGGGGGGGGGGGCTGCGCCCCCCCCAAACCCCCCGCTTCGCTTAAGCCGTGCAAACATCAAAGCCTATAAGCATCTTGTTGAAACCCATCATGTGAGCATTGTGTTTGCAAATGGGGGGCTGCCCCCCCCCCCCCCCCCCCCCAACCCCCCCGCTTTTTTTAACCGTGCAAAGTGTGCTTCAATCCATATGAACGTTGTTGAAACTTATCGTGTGAGCATTGTGGTTGCAGATGGGGGGCGGGGGGGGGGCTGCGGCGCCCCCCCTTCCCCCGAACCCCCCCTCTTCGCTTAAGCCGTGCAAAGCGTGCTTCAAAGCCTAAGAAATTTGTTGAAACCCATCATGTGAGCATTGTGCTTGCAAAGGGGGGGCTTGCGCCCCCCCTCCCCGCCCCAGCCCCCCCGTTTGATTTAAGCCGTGCAAAGCGTGCTTCAAAGCCTGTGCATCTTGTTCTACGAAAAGTAGTATGAATCCTATGAAAACGTGGTGGGAATGTAGCTTTTTCCTAGGAAAAACCAAGAAATCAAACCAAAACAAGAATTATTTAGAAATCCTACGAGAAGTAGTATGAATCTTTTGAAATATGGCCGGAATGTAACTTCTTCCGACGTAAAAACCAAGAAAACGAACCCCAAAAAAAACATGAATAAGAACTCCTACGAAAAGCAGTATGAATTCTATGAAAATATAGAGGGAATGTAGTTTTTTCTTAGGAAAAACCAAGAAAACGAACCAAAAATAAAGATTAATAGGAAATCCTACGACAAATAGTATGAATGACAGGAAGATACATGGACAATGTAGCTTTTCCTTAGGAAAACCCACGTTTTTTTTACTCAGCCGGGCAAGCTTGCTTCAAAGCATATGAATATTATTCCGATAGTTATTTCATTGTTTTTTTGACAGTTGTAGTTTATGTTTTTTTTTTTTGTTATATAGTTTTTTTGGATAGTTCACTCTTTAGGGTTTAGGGTTAGGGTTATATGTTCCTTTTTTGGGTTCAAGAGGGTAAGATTGATTTCAGAGTTGTTTTTCAGAGTGTTTTACTCTTGGCCATCCAAGGATAGTGCGATTACCAGCCTGGTGATTCGACGTCTGCCGCAACACATTACCATAGACAAACTCGTGGAGATCCTAAGAGACTTGGCTTTGTGGTACTTTACTGTAACTTTAGATCCTTACCTTTTTTGGGTTTATTGGGTTTCTTCTTAAGGCAGCTAAAAGTTTAATTTATAGCTACCCTCCTGAGTGCGGCCAAGTTGGTAGCCCGGTGGTCCCCTGTTGCCCCCAAAAAACTTACTACAATCTGGTTCCTGGGCTACCAAGGAGATTCCTCGGATGGTAGATTCGACTTCGTGCACTTTCCGCGCGACCAGCAGACGGGGCTGAACGTGGCCTTGGCTTTCGTGAACTTCGTAGATCACGAAGCTGCAGCGAACGCACTCCGGACCCAGCTGATGTCTCGAAGAAGTGGTCGTCGTCCATTAGGTCCAGCACGGATCCGACCGGGGACCGTCCAGGGTTTGGGGCCAAACTTGGCCTACTTCATCTCGCGGTTTGGCCTGGACGCTCTGGAAGGCCCCAGTGCGCCGCTCATTTTCGATAGGGGCCAACGTGTGCCGACACTGCTCACGCTGCGCAAGCACATGACGCTGGATATGTTGAGGGAGCACATAAGAGATCCTGTGGTCATGGCCACGATCGGCAACCAGCTTTCGTGGATGTTTCCCAAGCCTCCTTCATCGCCGACGGCGGCATGTGCTTCGGGCGAAGGCATGACAACGATGTCGCACGTCCAAGCCTTGCTTGAGGGCAACCGAAGTGATGTCTCCATCGTTAGTCCTGGGGAGCCTTCGAACTGGGATGCTCTGGTTTCAAGCTCATCGCCTGCTGAGGACCTCGGCGGCTCGTCGAATCAGAGCGAGATAGGCTCAGTTCCTGCCAGTTTGCCGGATGCTGCCTTGGAGGACCTTCCGCGATATAGAGAAGGTGGGAAGACGGTCTTCCAGCTTTAGCTCTGCGCTGCATGCATGCTGCGCGCAATGTCTGTGCCGGGGACTGCCACATGGCGACGCTGGCTAGTTTGCTTCAAGCCTGTGCGCTTTCAGCCAAGGTAGTGCTGTGACAAAGACGTCCACGAGTAGGGGTGATCCTTTAAGTAAGGCCACTGAGAACTGGAGTGATGCATGCTGCAGAGGGATAAATTTGTCACCTAACCTGTAGCCTCAGTCAAAAGACATCAGAACACCAGATGGCATGGTAGCATACATAAGCAGCTAGCCTGCAGCATGTTGCTCTGAAACGGCCTCAGCAGGCGTGCTTTGTGGCGGGGCATGAACTTCGTGCTCATGAGTCCTCAGGCATATGTGTGTCCAAAACTTGTGACGCCCAAAGTACGCCGTGGTTTGAACACTGCACAAGATTAGTAGGCGACTCTTTCCTCGCGCCAGCAGGTGACAGGAATGGGCACCAGTTGCACCACTGGAACGACAGAAGCCACAGCCTGTCAGGAATCAGGGCGATAAAGAGTATGGAATAATTAACGCAAAAGATGAGTGCCGCTGGCACCTGCGTTACAATTTCCAGTGGGAACTTAGTTGCCAGAAGGTGCTGAACTCCGGGACAGTTTCGGGTTTGCTTTCTGCACTTATTCGAGGAAGTATGCACAGCAGCACTTCCCCCACAACCCCGTCTGGAGTCAGGACAATAAGAGCAGGAACATGCTTATGGATTATAGGAACATGCAAAAGGCTCACGAAGCAGTGTCCAGTGTCCAGTGGAAGCTCAGCTGACGGAAGGCGGTGAGTCCGGACAAATTCAGGCTTGGTTTGCACTTTACTTCAGGCAGCGTTCGCAGAAACGCCCGCCTGAAGCAGGCTGTGTGACCATTTGTGTCGGTTTTTTTGTGCCATCCTGCGGCAACGGGGCACACTAATCCATCTCAGTGATCTCAGGAACATTAGTTGTGGCATGCGTTCTGTGACATTTGTGCCTCATCTGTGCATGTAGGCATCCGGCTGCGGAGCAGCTGGATTCATAGACAGGGCTAGTAGAAAAAAAGAAACATACCTCAACTCATCCTCCTTCAGAAGGGCGAATGTTGCAGACATGATGCCGACATGTTTCACTCAATGCGACTTGGCTGCTTCTTTTACGTCGTAGAAGCAGTCGCACTTCCACCACAACCCTGTCGGGACAATAAGAGCAGGAACATGCTTATGGATTATAGAAGGCTCACGAAGCAGTGTCCAGTGTCCAGTGGAAGCTCAGCTGACGGAAGGTGGTGAGTCCGGACAAGCTTAGGCCTTGTTTGCACTTTACTCCAGGCAGCGTTCGCAGAATCGCTTGCTGGACATGGTTTGTGTGCCTGCCTGAAGCAGGCTGTGGGGCCAGTTGTTTGGAGAGTCGTGGGTTTTGTTGTGACAGCTTGCGGCAACGGGGCGCACTTTTCCATCTCAGTGCTGGGACATGCGTTCCCCCGACACTGGTGCCTCATCTGTGCATGAAGGTATTCGGCTGCAGAGCGGCTGGATTCACAGACAGGGCTAGTAGCGGAGACGAAGCATACCGCAATGCCCCTTCCTCCTTCAACAGGGCGAATGTGCAGACATGATGATGCCGACATGTTTCACTTCATGCGACTTGACTGCTTTTACGTCGCGGAAGCCGCACTTCCACAACAACCCATCCGGAGTCGGAACGATGAGAGCAGGAACTTGCTTATAGGAACATGCAAAGGCTCACGAAGCAGTGTCCAGAGTCCAGTGGAAGCTCAGCTGACGGAAGGCGGTGAGTCCGGACAAGTTCAGGCTTGGTTGGCACTTTCCTGCAGGCAGCGTTCGCAGAATCGCTTGCTGGACGTGGTTTGTGTGCCCACCTGACAGGCTGTGTGACCGTGTGACCATTTTGTTTGGAGTGTGGCGGTTTTGTTGTGCCAGCCTGCGGCAACGGGGCACACTTATCCATCTCAGTGTTCTGCGACATTTGTGCCTCATTTGTGCATGTAGGCATCTGGCTGCGGAGCAGCTGAGTTCGTAGACAGGGCTAGTAGCAAAAAGAAGCATTCCCCAATGCCTCATCCTCCTTCAGAAGGGCGAATGTTGCAGACATGATGATGCCGACATGTTTCACTCAATGCTCGGCGGCTGCTTCTTCGTCGAAAACAGATAATCGCCAGGCTGCCTGGACACATTTCTTGGGGTCTAGGGAAGAGGGTTGAGTTTGAATGGAGCCTACGAGATTGGTGGCGGGTTGGCAGTTCGTAGCCTAATTACGCGCTGACTCACCGCATCCCCTGTGACGCCGCCCTGCAATGTGGACTTTTTTCAGCTAGGCGAGAGGCAAAAAAACACAACCCAAATCCCACACCCGATGTTCTTGTCTGGTTCACTGTGTTAGGGTCGTAGGGCTTGTGCTGAGTTCATGACATCTTGCTTGCTGAAAGCTTTCCATGTGCGACTATTTGCTTAAGAACCCCAAAGGAAAACATAATCCATATATTAACCGTAATGAGGAAGAATATTTTTGTTTTTCGGCTTTCTTAAGCAATTCGTAGATGTAGCTCCATCCAATGTCAACAGCGTCTGTTTCAGCTCGCCTTTGTCGCCTGGGTGCCTTTTTGGAGTCCAGCGAATTTCCGGGCTTGTCCCTGCGGAATTGCGTGCTGGTGTCAGCTACTACAGTGGCCTGAATAATTAGAATAAGGTTTTGGGGGGTTATGATGGTATAATTACAAAGCAGGTTATAGATTTGCTCAGTGCTCTGAACTATTGCTGAGGATGCAGATGACATCTTCTTTACTTGTTGACTTCGTCAGGCTTTCGCTCGCAAAACCCTCTTCTCATTATTCAGGCCCCCAAACCCTAAACCCTAAACCCTAGACCCTAAACCCTAAACCCTAAACCCTGTTCGAATTCTTCAGGCCCCTAGCATGGCTCCTTCTTAGCCCTGAGGCCTCCTCCCAGGCTTGGCTGCAGAGTTATGAAGAGCAGGTCGGCGTGTTAAACGGTCATGGTTGGAGGAACCCAAAGCCACGGTTTAGGGTTTAGGGTTTAGGGTTTAGGGTTTAGGGTTCAGGGTTCAGGGTTCAGGGTTCCAAACGCCTAAGCCGCAGAGGGTGCGGAAGCTCGATGCGGAAGCTCAGCACGAAACTCCATGAGGAGCTTGTTTTTGGGAGAAGCTCGGCCCAGGCCGCACGCGCTGCTCCAGAGGGGGTAGGGGACTCAGTTCGCAAGTTTCAGGGTTAGGGTTTTGGATTTCGGGTTTTGGCGGGCTTTAGGTTCGCAAGTTTTCTGCGGGTTGGGACGGGAAGCGGGTGTCAAGGGTCAGCCCTCACAATGAGTTCTCTGGGCCCAGAAAGCAGGGGCTGGGTTTGGGTGTCTAGGGTAGAGGGTTTAGGGGTTAGGGGTTAGGGGGGGACCCTAAGTCAGTGAGTGCGGATCCGGCTGAGCCTGGAGTCAAAAAAAGGGTCCCCCGAAATACTATTTGCTTGAAGACCCTAAACCCTAAACCCTAAACCCTAAACCCCCCCTAAAGATGAAGATACTCTTCCTTATAAGGGCAGCACAGGGATTTTTTTTTTTTTTTTTTTTTTTGGGGGGGGGGGGTTCTTAAGCAATTCGTATTGGGATGTTCCGCCTTATACAGTCCTGTCCCCAGTGGGGATGATCATAGGGGGTACTATTCTCTCTCTTCAGGACTGTTAGCATGAGGGGGAACATCCCCAAATTAGTAGTTAATCGATGAGTTGAGGCCGGGGATGCCTCAGAGCCGGCCGAGATGGAAGATTCAGGGTTGGAGATCTTTTTGGGTTTAGGGTTTAGGGTTTAGGGTTTAGGGTTTAGGGTTTAGGGCTAGGTTATATGGGTTGGTGGTCTCTGTAAGTAGAGTTTCTGGTTTGGGGCATATATTGGGGTTTTTGTTAGGGTATCTATAGGGGCTATGTTCAGGTATAAGGGTAGCAGATAAAGAGGCCACCTTTATAAGGTTTAGGGTTTAGGAGATGCGTGCCTTCGGCCAGGCGCTGCCGGCATCGCGCGCGAGACGGAAGGGTGAGAACCCAAGATCCAGCCATTGTAGCGTTGCCGGCTGTCATTGTGAGTAGGGTTGCTGCGACGCGACACTGGCGCAGAAGGTATTTGGACGCATGTACAAATCACGAAGAGAGTGTTGCGTCCTGCATGTAGACATATCATCCTCGGCACACAGGAGCTTCTTTCGTCTTGTCAAGCAGCTCTCAGGCATTTTTTAAACAGGGTTTAGGGTCGAGGGTTTAGGATGTAGGGTTTGGCCTGGGAGCTACACCTAGAGAGACGCCCTTTTTGTCCAACATCCCGGCTGGTCACCCGCTTCACCGAAGGCTGGAGCGAATAGCTTCTTCATCTGCCGCCCTCCCAGAACTTTGGGAGACTGATGAAACTGCCAGCCCTCGTTGCGCCATAACTATATCCCCCTTAGGAATTATTGTTGATGTGTTTTCTATACATATATATATATATAAAGCAAATATTGAACAAAAGTTTATAAAGTTTCTAGGGGGAGTATAGATAAACCAGGGTGCGAGCGAGTCAGAGTGAGTGAGAGAGTGCGCATACTCCAACAAGTCTATGTGCTCATGTCTCAGACGATGGACTGTGGGTGCACGCTCGCCCGTGCCGGGGTGAGTACCCCCTCAAGCCCGGCGGCAGCGGCAGCAGCGACAGCAGCAGCAGAAGAAGAAGAAGAAGAACAAAAGAAGAATAATAATAAGAAGAATACAAAGAAAATATGAGGAAGAAGAAAGAGAATAACAGAGAGAGAGAGAGAGAGCGCGCAACAGAAGACTCAGAGGGCACACTGCCAGTGTGGTACTGTATGTATGTGTGGTCATCTGCAAGTCTGTTCTAGCAGTAAGGGACCCCTGTGTGAGGCTGTCAAGCAAAACAGTTGGTGCTTTGGCTTTTGTTCTGGCCCCATGAATACCTTATAGAGGCTGAGCCATATTCATGTTTTCACCACAAACCTGAAGCTTCACTAATCCCCTCCCCCTAATATTAAACCCCCCCCACTCCCAATTCTTAAACCCACAATATAGTTATATTATAGTATATTTTTTCTACTAGGGGGTAGGGGGGTTTTATGTTAGGGGGAGGGGATTCATGTGGCTGCCAAGGCCGTCTCCGGCTCAACAGGCGGTACCGTCACGGGGGTTACTGGAGGCGAGGGTCCATGCATCTCGCGCTGTCGGTGGCTCTGTTGTGCACTGGCTTTGCTGTGCAAAGTCTGTGGCTGGAGAGAGCGACTTCCTGTGCAAGATGCCAGCTTGTTCATGCAACTTTGAGCGTTGATGACCCTTATTGGGGTCCTGCTTATACGGGAATTCTGCTATTTGGGGGTCCATATGAGGGGTCCTCTATTTTCGTAAACCCCCACATGGTGTCGTTCAGCCCCTCGCTGGCCTTGACCGACCATCGATCCCGAAAACCCTAAACCCTAAACCCTAAACCCCTTGCTACGTTTATCTGCCCGCAGGCGTGAGCCCCGCGCCAAAGTCTGCCGTGGCAGCCAGCGCGGCAGCAGAGCAGCATTATGTCGGAGCGAACTGCATGTCGACGAGTGGATAAGGTTTCAGGGGTTCTGGGTGCTTTAAATGGTGCACTTGGGTCACCTTTGGGTCAGAAATCCACTGCGCACTTCCCCTAACCCACGTAGATTGCATGGCCAAGGTGGCCGTAAGGAATCTAATTAGAATCTACTTTGTGGTACTTTACTGTAACTTTAGATCCTTACCTTTTTTTGGGGTTTATTGGGTTTCTTCTTTAAGGCAGCTAAAAGTTTAATTTATAGCTACCCGAATCTCTCCGAGGTGCAGCTCGATCGTCGGACATCAGGCAAGCTGGGCCGGCCAAGTCCCACTCTTCACACGTTAGCCTTGAGTAGCTGAACGAGTACACTTTACACTTTTTGGGATGCTACTATCTCCTATAGAACTGAAAGTGTGCAGTTCTGTGGGCTTATGTCTCAGAAACTACGTAGATGGAACGAGTTGAGTTGATCACCCTCCCGCACCCAAAGTGGGACTTCAAGGGATGAGATCGGGAGCTCACCCAGAATCCTGCACCCTGCGCCCGCATCCGCTTCTTTCCTTCAAGCAAGTTGTCCGCTCTCACCTAAGTGCCTCAGTTCGGCCAAGGGCATCGTGAGCAACCCCGTGCTCGAATAAATCTGTCCCGTGGCTTGCTCATAAAACTGATGTTTGCAGGGTCTCTGGCAACGCCGGCTGCATCTGCAGGCGCTGCACATGCCTTGCGCAAGTAAAAGCCCCCGCAAGCTACGAAGTGCTCTTGCAGATCTTATGGTCGGGTACTATGCCCTGCCAAGCCCTCTGACAGACCCTGACAATTTCAGACTTGCGAAAAGCTGCTAGAGATGCTAGACACATCCAAACAAAAGTTCAAATTTTACGCATAATAGAATAATATATGTATACATAATACCGTACTGTTTACATATATATATATATACACACATAGAATACTTTCTCTATGTATATATATATATATGCACTATAAAGAGTAGTGTGTATATATATACACACATATTATATATATATATATAGATAGATAGATAGATAGATAGATATGTACATGCATGCAGACACTTACGAATTTACTAATTAATATCTCTCCATCTATCTATTTATCTATTTATCTATCTATCTATAGATATATATATATATATGCATTATGTGCTATGTACTATCAAGCAATGCCTCGGGAAGCCCCATAAGCTTTCGTTGCAGGCGGAGCTGGGACAGAGGAGACCGCCGGGGGGGGGGGGGGGGCCTTGCAACCCCCCGCACCAAAGCAGAGTGTCGGGTTTGGGGTTTAGGACTTAGGGTTAGGGTTTAGGGCTTGGGGTTTCGGATTGGGGGTTCAACTAGGGGAGCATGCGAGCCCTGCAGCTCTGGCCACCCATAAGCCCAAAGTCCATAGCATGCGAAGGCCCAAGCTCAGCCCTGTTAGCACCATGGAGCTGAGAATCACAGTCCTTTTGCCCTGGGCCTACATGAAGACCACACTGACTGATCACAGGACCCCTCTGCTCGGTTTCTTGACTGGCCGCCGGGGACTCTGAAGAGTTACATGCGGGGGGGGAGGGGGGTGGGGGTTGGGCAGCGGATCCTGGTTGAAACAGGAATGCGTACCCTGCCGGCGTGCCCAGACTAGCCCTGTCCGCTTTGGGCTGGACAGGTTGCTCGCGTTTAGGGTTTAGGGTTTAGGGTTTAGGGTTTAGGGTTTAGGGTTTAGGGTTTAGGGTTTAGGGTTTAGGGTTTAGGGTTTAGGGTTTAGGGTTTAGGGTTTAGAATCTGGGGCTCCTCAGCGCCTCCAAGCAAGCGGTGGTCACAAGTGCCCTCGGGCTACCAAACGAAGAAGTTTACCGAACGGCATCCTTGACCTAAGGGCTGGGTGGTTAACCTTTAACCTTTTTTGGACATATATTATCCTATTACAAAAATCAAGGTTCACCTGCTTTTTGGGGCTGTTCAGCCCCTCAGTCGAAAGCAAGCGGTTCCAGCTCAGGGAAGAGGAAGCATCGCTGAGGTCGTGCGTTGTCTTCGGCGTCAAGAGAGAAGTTGCTACGGAGGGCCGATATGCGGGCCACTTACCCCGCTTGCACCGGCAAGGGTCATCTAATGAAGTGCCGTTGAGTCGACCGCAGTTTTGACTGTTGTAAAGATGTTGAAGGAAGTGCCTTAACCGTTTAACATGTTCGGATTTAGCTGCGAGGTTTGTGGTTTAAAGGTTGCATATAGGGAGTCATGATGAACCCTCGTGCTTTTGGGAGGCGGCTTTAGTTTGTTCGCGTGAGTTCTTCATGATGCGTTTCTGCTCGATGTCACCTAGAAGGTTATACAGTATGGGGGGCTTGCAGGGCTATAGGGGGGGGGGGGGAGGTGTTTAGGGGCCTCAACACGTGGGGCCATAATGGCATAATAGTAGTTGAATATACTTTAAGCATGCAACAACATCCGTGCTTCAGTTCTAGACTCAGACTGCCGATGTGCAGGTTACTTGTCACCTTGGCTGCAGCAAAGCCTTAAACCCAAAACCTCAAACCCCAAACCCTAAACCCTGAACCTTAAACTTAAACCCAAAACCCTTAAACTAGCTGAAGGAGAAGGACGGAGATCATGTAAATGAATCCAAACGTGCAAACCGGGAAATCTTCTGCGGCGTATTGGAGACTGTTGGTCAGTAGGAATTGAGGTACCCTATATACCCCCTAGTTTACCCTTTTAAGGGATTATGTAGGGTACCCCATTCCCTAATTATATCCCCCCTTCTTTACCCTTTAAGGGATTATACAGGGTACCCATTCCCTATATCCCCCTATCTTTACCCTTTAAGGGATTATATGGGGTACCCCCATTCCCTATATCCCCCTATCTTTACCCTTTAAGGATTATATAGGGTACCCCATTCTCTATATCCCCCTATCTCTACCCTTTAAGGGATTATATAGGGTACCCCATTCCTTCGTTCCCTACGAACCAACAGCAAGATTGGAGACCCCGGGCCGAGCGCCATGCCGCTGCTGCAAGTCATCAGCATGCCCTTCGGTTTTGCGTTTAGGGTTTAGGGTTTAGGGTTCAGGGTTTAGGGTCCCTAAGCCCTAAACCCTAAACAGGTTACAACACCCAAAATCCAAGCCGGCAAAGCCCACCCTCAATGGCATCGAATTATTCCTCACCCCACCTTCCTTGTCAAGACCCGTCAAGTGAAGCGAAGCACTCCCCTCCTGAAGTATGTGGCCCACGCGATGCCGCACGGTTTAAACATGACCGAGCCATGAGGGTATTTCCAAAAAGAGAGAGTACCCTTAATGTACCCCCCAAATAGTATGTTTTTTTTATTGTAGGAACCCCCGCTTAGGGGCTGGGTAGCTAGCCTTTAATACCTTTTTGGTTATATATAATCCTATTACAAATAAAAGGATAGCCTCTTTTGGGCTGGGGTATTCAGCCCAACCCCAAACCCTAAACCCTTAAATCCCATTTTCGGGGAAACCCCCGTGAGAAGGTCTGGTGATGAAGTGTCGCGCTTCAGCGTCGAGGAACTCCAGCATCTGGCCGAGGAGAACGGCGGCAGTGAGATCAAGGTCCCAACAGGGTTTAGGGTTTAGGGCCTTTAGGGTTTAGGGTTTAGGGTTTAGGGTTTAGGGCCAAGGGTTTATATGGCTTGTGCGGCTTTTTTTGGTCTCCACATGCCAGTGCGCTGCGGGGGGGCACCGGCCCTTTTCATTTCTCTCGCGCCCTTGAGTTTTAGGGTTTAGGATTTAGGATCATACCTCCATGATTTATATGAACCTTGAGGTGGGGTCCTCGTAGACCTGGGTATAGACATACGTACTCTACAGATACTTTTTGAGGTTTCTCGAATTCTTCCCCAAACGCCCACGACCCACGGTAGGTGTCCAAGTAAAGCTTCTGACGGTGTCGGCTATCTGCCTTCTCTGCTGGCCGCTGCATGTTCTGACGGGCACTGGATTCCCAGAAGTGGCCGTCATCCCTTCTTAGGAAGGTTCCCTTATAAACGCCCTTAAACAAAACAAGATGCCTCAGGGTAGTTCTGGGTTCGCGGATGCAGTTGAAGTTGAGATGGCTGGGGGATGATGCTGCTTGAGCGAGAAAGGCGGGCTTTGATGCCTCCTTTGCGGTGTTGGCGTATGTCGCAGCTATCCTGGCGAAGGGAAGCAACCCCTCGTTTGTTTAGGGTTTCGGGTTCAGGGTTTAGGGTTTAGGGTTCAGGGTGGCGCATCTACGGATCGCACTTTTTGTGAGAGTTGCTGCCTTGGCATGCATCCTGTCGCAATTGCTCTCCGGAACGCAAAGCCGATAATCCTGAGGGATTCCAAGCCAGGCGAAAAGCAAAGGCTGTTGAAGCATTGATTCTTGGTCAGTGCAGTTCTCGACATTTGCCTTGAAGTTTGCCGGTGATGTTGGCGACGTGCGAGCACACAGCAGGAATGCAAACACATACGAGTACAATACAGAGGGGCCGCCAAGTAGACACCCGCCAGCTACAAACTCGATATGATCCACATCTTGCCACTGTAGCAGTGCGCGTCCAGCACGGTCAATTGCAGGTGTTGGGGGTGGGGGTGTGACGTTTGTAGGGCAATGCAGCCCTGAAGCCCCAAGCTTAAGGAACAAAGGGCTTGCAAAGGTTTTTCTTCATGGCAGCTCCCAACTTATATAGGAACCACGCAAATCGACTACACCCTGCATTTGCCCAGAACCCGGCAATCTTCCAACTGTTTCCCGCCAGCCCTCGCACAGGGAGTGAAGCGGCATTTGGCGGCGGTGGTGGGGCAGCCGCGCTTCCGCTTGAGGCTGCTTTGCGGAAGCAGTCTTGTGGGAGACGACGCGGTATTGGAGTTGCCAGAGATGTTGCATCTGGTCATCACGCACTTCCGCGGGGAGGAGTTGGCAGAATCTGCGCAGAAGATGGCCGGATCGTAATAGCGACTTAATAGTGCTGATTCGGGGGCTCGGGGGATTCGGGGGCTTTCTAGCCCTAAACCCTAAACTTAAAAGTTTTCTAGCCCTAAACCCTAAACCCCGAACTAGCCCAGGAGAGCCGGCGTGTGGCGGAGCTTCAGAAGGCCTGCAGCACCGACAACGCCAAGCTGGTCGAGTCAATCCTCTCGCGGCCGCAAGATCCCGACCTGGCCGACGATCCTCGGCTTTTAGGGCTTTAAGTGTAGGGTTGAGGGCAGTTTAGGGTTTAGGGTTTAGGGTTTGGTTCAAAAGGGTTTAGGGTTTGGGGTTGCAAAAGTGTAGGCTTTTTTTGCGAGTCGAGTAACGCACCTTAAAAGCTTCCGTTAGAACTCTTTGGTGTTTTCTCATCCCTGCAAAAACGTGAAATGCTGTCCGAATTCCGCTCCCCAGAGAACTGGACAAGTTGCGAAAGTTCAGCTTGCACAGGGTGGGCTTTAGGAGATTTCGGGGTCTGCGGGATGGAAGAAACCATTCGGAGTTCAGCACTTGGCCCTAGACGAATGGCAGCGTCCAGGGCCCAGCTGCATGTCCCATCCAAACCCCAAACCCCAAACCCCAAACCCCAAACCCCAAACCCCAAACCCCAAACCCCAAACCCCAAACCCCAAACCCCAAACCCTAAACCCTAAACCCTAAACCTAAACCCTAAACCCTAAACCCTAAACCCTAAACCCTAAACCCCCAATGCCCCCACAAGGCGTGAACCCGTTGTCAGGCTCGGGGACTGACTGCTTTGCATGTGGCTGCCTCTGAGGGGGCGCTGCAGAGTGTGGTGCTGTTGCTTGAGGCGGCTGCGGGCAGGTTAGGGTTTAGGGTTCAGGGTTTAGGGCTTGGGGTTGGGAATAATTACTAATCGTATTCCTTTATGGTCCTTTTGTAATTATAGAAATTCCACTATAATAACCCCACCCCCCCCCCCCCCCCCCCCCCCCCCCCTCCCCCCCCAAAAAAAAACAACCTATTCAGGCCCCTATGGAAAGCATGTTAAGTACTGGCCCCTTTTTATGGGCTTCGGCCAATCATACTTTGGGGTCCAGGTAAACCCGAAGACCCCATAAACCCTGCCCTATAAACCTCATAAGCTGTATAAACCCTACAAGCCCTGTAAGCCCTAAACCTGCGCGTGCCAAAAAAAGAAGCTTATAAACCCTCCAAGCCCTAAATGCTCTATAAACCCTAAACCCTGTGTGCGCCGCCGTTTAGGGTTTAGGGTTTAGAGTTAAGGGTTTAGGGTTCAGGGGGGGTGAGCTCCCTGAAACACCTTCAGAAGCTCAGAAATCAGAAGGGGGTTTGGATATGGCGCTATCATGGGTTGAGGGTTTAGGGTTTAAGGGTCTTGGGTTGGACAGTTGTGCGCAGTCAAGTTTGCAAAAAAGGGTTTAGGGTTTAGGGTTTAGGGTTTAGGGTTTAGGGTTTAGGGTTTAGGGTTTAGTGCTGACTTCAGGAGTCTGGGTTGAAAAAAAGATGGTTTAAGCCCTGGGGTTTCGGGCTAAAACCTCGCAGAAGTACAGCAGTGACAGGAGAGCAAATCTGCATGGACGATGGCCCCTTGCAACCCTGTAGGCGTCTGTTGAAGTTTTGGGTGGTTCGTTCTTTCCTTGAAATGGAACCTAGTCGTCATGTATAGTTTTCAAAGGAAGGGTTTAGCGCACAACTCAAAGTTGCTCAGGGCTTGTGGGACTGATGGGCTTTAGAGATCCTAAAGCCAAGAAAGACAACCTAGCGGAAGAGCTGGAAAGCTAGACATTCGACACCTCGAAAGGCGGGTGCAAACCTCGAAAAGATCATGGGCAACGGTGCCTCAGCTGCAAACGAAGCTCGACGACCAAAGCTCTGACAATCTGACTATGACACATCCCAAGCCCTTCGCCCAGGCCGGTTCAGGGTTTAGGGTTTAGGGTTTAGGGTTTAGGGTTTAGGGTTTAGGGTTTAGGGTTTAGGGCTAGGGTTTAAGGTTTAGGGGTTAGGGGTCAGGGTTTTTTTTGCATCTCAGGGCGCAGCCTCCGCAGTCCTAGGTTACAGAAAGGGTTTAGGGTTTAGCACCCCCTCAGCGCGCAATACATTGAAGGTCTTCTTGTACGTATGGCTTGCCTGCAAGCTGTTGCGTTTTCCTGGGGTGTTTTGTTGGGTGGCCGTGATGAGCGAAAGGCTGTTTCTTTGGAGAGCTGCAGTCTTGCCAAGCAGGAGCCGAGCCCTAAACCAAACCCCACCCCAAGCCCTGAACCCCAGAGCCCCCCGGCGCCCTACTCCAAAACCCTACTAGGATGCCCAGTAGTACCCTTATTCCCTTTTTGGGGGTTTAGGTTCCCTTATAAACCCCTTTAAGCAAAAAAGGGCACCCTTTTTCAGGCCTAAGCCTAGCCTAAAGCATCCCGTCAACCGCCCATAGGCTGAGAGAGGTCGGCATGCAGATGTTTGCAGGCATTCGCCGAGAGGTCCGCGAGAAACCCTAAACCCTAAACCCTAAACCCTTTTAAACCCCAAACCCTGAACCCTGAACCCTAAACCCTAAGCCCCAACCTGACGATCCAGGTGCCACGGCTTTGCATATGGCGGCCCAGCGGGGTCACCTGGAAGTGATGCGCCAGCTCTTAGATTCTGGAGCCGACAAGGTCTGCTCGCGGCCGGAGGTTTAGGATTTAGGGTTTAGGGTTTAGGGTTTGAAACCCTAAACCCCAAACCCTGGTGTGGCGTTTGGTAGTTATCGGTCATGCTTTCCGCGGTGTAAGGTATGAGGCTTTAATCAAAGGGTGTCCGATCCTAAGCCCGCAGAATCTCTGGGTTTTCTGCGCAACGAAGACCATAGGGTTTTTCACACCGTGGGACAGGCAATCTAGGGTTAGAAGTGGAGAACCTATCACCAAACCTCACCCTGCGAGTGCTTCTTCCTTGGGCACCGAGTATGAACCCTCGAAGGGTTTAGGGTATATTTTTATTATTCTAGTATTGGGTATATGACCCCAATCTTAGGGTTCCCCAAGGCCCCCACGGTGGCACCATTTAGGGTTTAGGGTGTAGGGTTTAGGGTTTAGGGTTTACGGTTCAGGGTTTAGGGTTTAGGCAACTTCAATGCGATTGAGAGTTGTCAGCTCAATCTGTCCTTGTTTCGTCTCGCGGTGTGTCTTTTCGTTTCGTCGGTGTGGAACGAAGTCGATGGCTTGCGATGTTTCCCCTGGAACTTAGGGCTTAAGGTTTAGGGTTTAGGATTTAGGGTTTAGGGTTTAGGGTCCATTATAGGGATCACAATAGGGGGTACGAAAATCCCTATTAAGAACTGTTAGGAAAAGTGGGGGGGCCATCCCAACCGATAGCATCCTGGGCTACTTTGCCGCACTTTCCAATAGTGACGACGCCCGGGGGAAGATAGCCGAAGTGCACAAGTCACAAGCCGAAAGACCCATGTCCATCATACCCCCCCACACTTGAAACGCCCATTCCCAGATCTTCTGCTGTTCCTTACCGAGAGCATCTGGCATGTCTGCAGCTCTAGTAGCTCCAAGCCAGCTAAAAACTCAGGGGTTGTGGGGTTTAGGGTCAAAAGGGTTCCAGGTATGTTTAGGGTTGAGGGGCCCATGCTGACCAGGACGCCTGTGATGTAGATGGTGGGACCGCGCTGTTCAAAGCATCACGCGGCGGTCACCTGGAGGTGGGCTTAAGAAGAGGGGGTCGAAGATGTCTCCCCCCCTCAAGTTAATGCCTCGACTCAGTGACACTTGAGGAACATCCTTTTGGTTGGTGAAGGTTAGTGGTGACTTGGGGGTGAACCTCAAGGTCTGTGGGGGGTGAACAGCAAGGTTTGGTTTAGGGTTAAGGATTATATTGGGGTTATTGGGTTTGAGGGTCTAGAGCCAGGGCTTAATTAAAGGGACTCGCGTCCCAAAACAGCCAGGGTTTAGGGTATAGGGTCCATGCAATTGTCATCGTGCCAGCTGACGCAAAGAGTCTGGGTCTGGGTTCAAAAAGGGTTGCACCCTCAAACAGAAGCGATAGGCCTCAATGGAAGAAGTGGCCGTCTTTTCATGGGTTCCCCTACAACCCCCCTCTATTACCCCCCCCCCCTAGGTTCCCCCCATAATTAAGGCTCTTTTGGGATAGTTAAGCCTTCTTAAGGTTAGGTAAGGCGGAACTTGGGGGGGGGGGGGGGGGGGGGGGGGGTAGTATAGAGAGGGGGGTAGTAGGGAAACCCATGATTGAAAGGAGGGAACCTAGGGGGGGCGGAGGGGTAGTGTAGAAGGGGGTAGTAGGGAAGCCCATGATCTTTTGGCTCTCAGGTGGTCCGCTTGCTTCTGTCTTCCAAGGCCGACCCGCACAAGCGCCCTTCCGATGCATCAAGCTTCTTCCACCGGACCTACCTACTGTAACCCTAAACCCTAAACCCTAAACCCTAAACCCTAAACCCTAAACCCTGTTGTGTTCCAACGCTTTTCAGGCCGGCGGGGTGCCCTCTCGGGCTCAGGGTTCGGCAGGTTCGTCTGTTCTGCATTTCGCATTTGTCTGGATCCTGTAGTTAGGGTTTAGGGTTTAGGGTTTAGGGTTTAGGGTTTAGGGTTTAGGGTTTAGGGTTTAGGGTTTAGGGGTATTGCTCTTCCCACGGTAGTACTCGGGGCGTGCAATGCCAGCATCATCTCGGAGGCACGGAGGCATCGAGGGCAGCAATACGGCTGCGATTCGATTTCCTGGTGCGTTGAGTTGCAACGATTCCATCCGGTGCTCATTAATAGGATCCTGTATCAGTCGATTAGTCGTTTCCATCATTTGCCCCCCTGCGAACTCGCACCCTGCATACAAAGATCCAAAGGCTTTCACCCTGCTGCCAACTCGTTTTGAACCTGCGCCCTTTGGGTTTGAGTTCATAAAAGGGCTTTGGGTTTAGGGCTTTGAGTCAGTTGTTGTGTGCTCCAGAAATGTTGGCACTTGAGAAGCCTGCTGTCCGTCACATCTCACAGGGGACTTGCCAGCACGCGACGCAGTTGACGTGACCCATTTTGCATCCCATATCGCCCCGCAGGTTAAAACAATTTTAAAGCTTCCCTAGGCGGAAACGGGACAAGTAAGAGAAGTTAGAGAAGCAAACCCTAAGCCCTAAACCCTAAACCCTGCAGGAAGAACATGGTCATGGCCATGCGAGGCTGAGTCCTCCCCAGTCCGTAAGTCGTCTTCTACATCCGAGCACTGCACTGAACGAAGTTGGGATCGATCAGCATGAGGCCTCCGTCATCTGCAGGAACAAGCGTACCGACTGGGCGCTAGACATCTAAAAGAGGTCATTGGGGTTGTAAAAAACCCTAAACCGTAAACCCTAAACCCTAAACCCGAAACCCTAAACTCTAAACCCTAAACCCCAAACCCTAAACCCAAAGGAACCACAATACTGGCCTCAGCGCTCGCAGCCGCGGCTGCCAATGGCCACCAAGCGGAAGTCATCTCAGGGCTGGGGACTTCGGACCCTAATCCTAAACCCTTTTAGGTTTAGGGTTTAGGGTTTAGGGTTTAGGGTGTAGGGTGTAGGGTGTAGGGTGTAGGGTGTAGGGTGTAGGGTGTAGGGTGTAGGGTGTAGGGTGTAGGGTGTAGGGTGTAGGGTGTAGGGTTGACCCTCAACCCTATATGGGTATTTCCCCAGAAAGGGGGATACCCCTTTTATAATCCAAATAGAATGGAATCCCCTTACAGGGAGCCCCCAAAAAGGGTACCCCTATTTTCGGAAAGCCCCCACCATATGACCTTGAAACTCGACAAGTGTAGAAGCCTCTGACATGGCTGAGGTGTGAGCTATGAAACACACCTTCAGGAATGTGCGCGGGTCCCGAAAGCCCTGAGCCAGTGCTTGCGGGCGTCCAAAGCCCCAAAATTCGTCCTGAGTTGCGAGAGCTTGGGGCATTTCGAGGTTTAGATGCAAAAGGGATGCTGGCTCAGGGTTAGGGGTTAAGGGTTTAGGGTTGAGGGCCGGCTAGGAGCTGTCGAAAGGTTTTAGGGTTCAGGGTTTAGGGCTTTAGGGTTTAGTAATTTAGTAATCTAGGGTTTAGGGTTTAGGGTTGGGGCAACTAACAACAACTTCACCCCCGAACAGCCGGGCCCACACCGCCCAAAATCCCCCGAAGCCTGGGCAGTTTTGCAGGGGTCCTTGCAGTCCCAAGGACACGCGGAGATAGTGCAGTGCTTGCTTGCGGCTCGTCTATATCCCCCTTGGGGATTTTTTTGTTTTTTTTGTTTATATAAACCCCACCAGGATATTTACGATATGAGTGTTATTAAGGTTCCAAGGGGAGTATAGTTGTCCTCTCCAGTGTTTGGGGGGTGTTTGGGGGTGCTTAGGGTTTAAGGTCGATGGCTTTGAGGGCTTAGAGGCAATGGCTCGTGGGGCTGCAGGGGGTGGCACTGGATCAAAAAGACTCCCTAAACCCTAAACCCTATAAGCCCTAAACTTTAAACCCTTGCAACCCGAACCTTTGGAAACACCAAGGATGCCGGGGTCCACGACACTTCAGCTATTCGGATGGCGCGGCGTTTCGGCCATTATGAAGTTGTGCGCTTGGTGCAGAAGGCACGTGGCCCCCGCGTCTACATGGAAGAATGCTGCTACAACACTGGGCACTGCGTGGGGAGGAGTTCTGCAGCTTGCTCTGTTCGTGGTGAGTCGCTCCTTGCCAACCCCTCTTGGTATGAACTTGGGCGCTGTTTTGCCTCCGTCCTCGGGAACTGCTGGCGTCTTGGATTGGAGCAGTCTGCCCTCGTGAAAGCACGCCCCAAAGAAGCTCGAAGCGCCTCCATCAACAGACGCTGCGGAAGCCCTAAACTCTAAGCCCTAAACCCTAAACCCTAAACCCGACATGCTCCCCGAGTTGCCCCTGTCTCTACACAAGCCCAGGATTGGTGCCCGAACGCTCTTGGAGCCCTGCTTTCCGATTGTATATGACCACTAGCGTCGGGAGACATGCAGACCTCGGGGAAAAAATATGAAGCCTAAACTACTATCTGCTCAAGAACCCCAAAAGAATTAACAACAATAATCTCTATATTACCCTCATAAGGAAGAATATGTTTAAGCTTTTTGGGGGGGTTCTTAAGCAATTAGTAGTAAAAGGGTTTATGTTTCAGTGGACCTTGACTTAAAGTGGTTTATGATACACCTGACCTTAGTAGCAATTAGAGTGGTTTATGATTCGCATGACCTTCGTAGAATTATAGTGGTTTATGATGGGCATTCTTTTTTCAGCCTCACCGTCTTCTTTTACCTCGTGTCTTTTTTTCAGCCTCGTAAACTGAAGTCTAACCTCGCCCTTGTTCCAGTCTTCTTGTTGACCTTGCCTCGTCTGCTTTTTGACCTCGCCTATCTTAAGGTCCCGCTGTGGCTCATGTCCGGGGGGGAGAGAGAGAGTAATCAACCTCGGAAATCTGATGTCCAACATCGTCTGTCTTATTTCCAACCACGTCCGTCTTCGTTCTAACCTCGCCCAAAGCATGGTCCCACGAGGCCCAGCCCAGCTGGCCGGCCCATCCAGGTTTAAGAGCTGAAGCTAGGAGAGTCAGCTGCCGGGGAAGTATGTTATTTTCGTTAGCTGCCACAAGCACTTGCATGGCTTGGAAGTGTATTCTGACGGCTCGGCAGTCATGCACAACTCTTGCCGGCGTCACGGAGGGTTCGGTTCGTCAGCTTGCGTATCGACATGCCTGGGGCTTTTGGCTCCCGGTAAAAGGGTTCAGGGTTGAGAAGTTTAGGAATTAGGGTTTAGAGTGTAAAGTTTGAGGAGTCAAGATCTGAAGTTCTGAAGTTGCTGAGCCCGACGAATGACAAGTGCAGCACGCAAAAGGCGGCTCAGTGTCCGGGCTCAGTGTCCGGAGATTAAACGAGGGAGAGGGAGGGAGAGAGGGAGAGAGAGAGAGAGATAACCAGAAATGGAAAAGGCAGCAAAGAAGGTGGACGAGGTTAATAATAATACGAGGTTACAGATAAGACGTACCCGAGGTTATTCAGAAGATTGGCGAGGTTGAAGAACAGACATGTCAGCAACTCCGAGGTTAAAAAAAAGACCCGAGGTTTTAAAAACATAACGAGGTCAAAAAACAACAACCCCGTTTATGATAATATGACCTTGGTATGAATTAGAGTAGTAGAGGGTCTATCACCCCCCCCCCCCCCCCCCCCCAATTTTAGGGTCCGTTTGGTCCCCAAGGTACTGCTAGCGTGGGGCGCTTTCTGCAAGAAAAGAGGGCTTCCGGGAGCAGGGCTCGAAGTGGCTTCCCGGGCCGTTTAGGGTTTTAGGGTTGTTTTAGGGTTTAGGGTTTAAGGATAGTTTGTCTGGGTCCCACTTAGGTAGGGTTGATGTCTCGAGAAGAGGAGCCATGCGCAACCCCCCTCACATGTGGTGACTAAACCTCTAGATCCTGTTTTGTCTTGCTTTTGTTCGGCAGTGGGGGGGGGGTTGGGGATTACCTAAGTTGATGGTTTCACCACAGTCTATCATATGAACAGCTACCCGAAAGCAGGGGTCGCACATGCGGGTCGAGGTACGTCCGCTGCAGCCCCAACCCTAGCAACCCGTCACTACGATTTCCTAGAACCCGATCACGAAGCCCGTCTCGAAGTAGGTTCCCTAAGAATCCAATAGGGCTTGAGTATTGCGAGCCTACCAAAAAAGGCCCTACCAAAAACTAAGGTTTAGGTTCTCAAGGCATATCACCTTGCAATCTGGCAAGCACTCACGGCACATCACCAATCTGGCAAGCAGGGTCTAGGGTCTTTGCTCCCTGAGAGGAGGTTCAGGGTGGAACCTGCGTACAACACTCTTGGTCCCAGTTCCGGGCCATGAACCTGCAATGATGAGGAATCCCTGTTCTCATCCCTCGTGCACACACATCATGAAGATCGACTCCCGCATCCCTACGTCTAACCGAAGCCCAATACTTCGGAGCTCGAAAAATTACTGCCTTGACTGCCTGTCTTACTTTCATCGCTGGGGGCTCGTTATGCACCTGTCGTGCTTTGACCTTCTCGAGTGTAGTATGTATGGTTTTCCCCCTTCACATTGAGTTTCGATTTCAGGGTTTTAGCCATTCGTTTCCTTAGTGGGGTCATGGACAAGTGTTAAACATGCGCAAGAGCTGGAAACCCTAAACCCTAAACCCTAAACCCTAAACCCTAAAATGCTCAACCCCAAATTCAGGTGGCCTGGGAAGAAGACCTTTCCTCCACCGATGTCATCAGGCAGTTGACGCCGATTGTTGTTCGGCGTTTAGGTCTAGGGTTCTTAAGGATGAGGGCTCAGGGAATGATAGGTTTAGGGGTTTAGGGTTTAGGGTTTAGGGTTTAGGGTTAAGGGCTTACGTTTAGCGGTCGCTTCAGGCTTAGGGTTCAGGGGTTTATATGTTGAGGGTCGAGCAAGGCTCCGGTGAATCAAAAGGCACTGCTTGGTGCTTTGTTCTCGGAGGATTAGGTGCGATTCTCCAACGTCCCTGCCACATGCCCCTGCTCTGCCAACTGAGTGGTGCGAAACACATCCCTAAACTCTCTACAAGCGTACCCTTAGTTCCTACCAGTAAGTTACGCACACATGCGTAGTTCTCTGAATCAGGGTGCCTTTTTGCGGGGTCCCTTTTATGCGGACCCCAAAAGCAAACTTGATTTAGAGAAGTACCCTAAACCCTAAACCATCTAAACCCTAAGCCATAAACCCTAGCCTGTACCCTAAGAATGCAACCGGCGCCAGGTTCTCGATTGTGCTGGACTTCCCAAGTCGAACAATCACGTGCCCGGCGTGAAGGGATTTCGGGTTCTCGGAGGTTCTTGGGCAGTAGGTCTTTCCTCAAACCTCAAACCCTAAGCTTTATCATAGTGGGGTAACATTTTACATTTTTAAGGGTACTTAAACCCAATAAGGAATAAAATCTTAAAAGTTTATTACTATCTCAACTATGAACCAGTAAGTTCTGGGCCACTAACCCGAAACCCTTCGTTGTTCGGGGTGTTGGGTTCTTGGTTCGGGGTTTTGGGGTGTTGGGTTTTGCTGTGATGCTGCCCTGGGCTTGCAGTGCTGTGTGGTGTTTCACGCTGGCGCCCGATGTTCGCTTTTCGGAGATGGTGCTGCACAAGCCCGAAACCCACAGCCCCAACTCTGCGAGGGCCGTAGGTCTTGTGCATCGGCCCCGACAACAAGAAAGACCACATTGCAACCTACAACTACCTCAACTTGGGCATCCTACCATGTCACCTTTCCCCGCAAACGCACACGAAACGGGTGGGAAAAAACTCTGCGAGGGCCCC